TAAATGTTCAATAGGGACCTCATGAAGAGTTTTCAACATGAATTGGATGCCAATTTGGAGGTTAAGGCAATCAATTGGGTGAAATTTAGAGACTTAGCCAATTTGGGGCTAAATTTGGGAATTTTGGATTTAGGCCAAACTCAATTAGATATGAGGCTTTACCAAGGTCAATTGATGGTTGATTTTGATGTATAGGGATGTTATCAAGATTCTGCAACATTAATTGGGGTCAATTGACTAGGATATGGGTTCAATTTGGTGAGATTAGGTCATATGATCAAAATTGGGGCTTTAACCTAACTCAAATTTTGGTTCAAATCATGGACCAATTAAGCTTGGATTTATTTTAATTTGATCATATCAAAAGTGAATTTTAGTTTAGGATTGAAATTGAGGTCAATTGAGGTCAAATTGATGGACATTTGAATTGAATTTTGGGAATTTGGGTCTTTAAAGGCAAATTTGGGGGTTTTGGTTAAAGATGGTCAAATTGGCCAAATTGGGACATATCGTAGTTGAGAGAAATGAAATTGGGAATATTTGGGAGTTATTGGATTTTCTGGGAATTTTTGAAATTTTTGGAATTTTGGGTCCAAGAGGGGTATTTCGGTAATTTGGTGGTGTTTTAGGGGTAAAAGGCCAGAATGGGTATTTTGGTAGAGTTGAGGTACCAATCATCAACAACAAGCATGGACCAATGGAAACCCCATTTTGGGTCCGTTACATAGTGGTCTTAGCCTAACCATAGCCCTAGGGCTATTAGGTTTAGGGGACCATCTACATGAGTATCCCAAAAGATCAAGGGATCTAGGCTAGAAATTTGAGTTTAGGGTTGTGAGTGAATGTGGGTGTATATGAGTGTAGATGAGTGTAGTGAGTGCCTTAGCTCCAGACTAACACCCAGGGTTAACCTTAAGGTTCAACTGTCCTGAGGGTGTCTCATCTTGAGTCTCCCCCATAGTGATCCCACCTACTAAATGCTAGAGGTTGAGACCAACATGTAGTCCTTTAAGTTGAGTAAAAAAGAGGGTAGAATTTCTAATGGTGAGGGTTCCATGTCTAGTTTTCTAAGAATAGTCAATAGGAAAAATCCTATGGCTAGACCTTAGGCTACTAAAAGGGAAAAAACTAAACTTCAACCAAAAATAAGGTCAACTCTAACATTGCAAAAGCATCAGTTTCATTAATATCGGCTACTTTCTTAAGATTTACCCTTCCAGAAGGCCATTGAAAATTATTTGTAGTCATTTCTTCAATTAAATCATAAGCGTCATGAAATAGTTTTGACATCAATGAACCACCAGCAACGACATCGGTAATAGATCTAAGAGATTCAGCTAATCCATTGTAAAATGTTTGAATTATTAACAAATCTATTATAGCATGGTGTGGATACTTTCCAAAGGGTTCTTTAAATCATTTCCATGCTTCATAAATAGATTCCCCTTCAAAGTAACAAAAAGATATAATATCATTTCTAAGCTTCACAGTTTTTTATGGAGGAAAGTATCTAGGAAGGAATTATTACGCTAAATCACTCCAAGTTCTAATAGATCCAGGTGGTAACGAATGTAACCATATCTTAGATTTATCCCTGAGTGAGAAAGGAAATAATCAAAGTCTAATAGTATCATCTGATACACCATCATTTTTAAATGCAGCACACAATTTTTGAAAATTGACAAGATGTAAATTTGGATCTTTAGTTGGTGCTCCCCCAAACTGATTATACCATTTGGATAATAATAGGTTTAAGTTCGAATGAATTAGCCATTACAATGGGTTTTAGAATACTACATACTACAATGAAGTTCATCCACCGTAAGGTTTGCATAATCTCTTAAAGGTCTAAATTCTTCAACATTTTTATTATTTTGATTTGCCATTTCTTGAAAATTTTCAATAATTTTTATTTTTTTATTTTTTGTATTAGTTCTTTTAATTCAGAATCGTAAGTCACAAGTCCTATAGAACCTGAACTATGTATACATTACAATAAAATACATATAAAATAAAAACATAGAAACATAAAACACTCAAACAAGAACTTAATATTAAAAAAAAACACTACAATATTCCTATAATAAATCTTAAAGTTTAAATACTTTATGAAAATAGAAATTTTTGCTTTCTAAAAATCTCTTTTGAAAATTTTGCAAATTTTTGTACTTTAACTCTCCACGACAAAGACGCCAAAAACTTGGTGTCGAATGAAATTACACTGGTGTCTGATCTCAATTCTTCGGTATAGATGTAAAATGCGATGTATGTAATTATATGCTTAATTTCCTTAATAGTTATTCTTAATTTGCAACAAAGTCAAAAATGTGTTCCAAAGCAAAAGCTAAGTTTTCCACTATGAAACAAATAAGATTACAATTATAATATTTAAATATGAGATATTACGCAGGTATACGTATCGTTATCAAATAATATAGGACTTTTTGATTAAGGCCTGAATATCGAACCCATAGGGAGATTAACAATATGCACTTTAAGAAACTAAAAAGTTTAGATGACAAAAATCTACTTAAAAAAATATTCTTACTTAAACTTACGAGGCTTTTTCTCTTAGCCCTTTCCTAGAAATGAAAATTCGATTCTTTTTCTAATTTTTGATTTATGAAAATAAAGTAAGTAACTAATTAGCAAGATGAAGACTTTGCAAGATGAAGACTATATAAATAAAATATTTTTTTTCCTTATCATGAATCAGTAATTTTTTTTGTGGAAGTATGCTAAACGTGTTATGCTAATAGGAGTAACAATATTTTTTACCCTTACTAGAGATGATATAAAATACATTGGCTAATATATAGTTTGAATAGTCTTGAAGACTGGTTAGGTATGGAAGGTATTAGCTCTCACTATAAAGTTCCCTATTCTCCCTCCACCTGGGGGCTAATATCTCGTATCAAAACCTAAAACTATAAATCAAATTGGGGGTTTTAGCCTATCACTTTCTTATTCATGAAATCAATATGTGATTCTAACCATTTGTTTACTGAGACAATACCATCTCGGATCTTACAAATTCTCACAATAAGTATTAACATATTAATTGGCCAAATTAAGAAGTAAATGAAGTGTATGGTTTCAAATCATCACAACTTTTTCTAATATTGAAGTCTAATACTTTACACAACATCCTTTAAACACTTTATCACTTATCATTTTAAGGAAAAAGATAAACAAAACTACTCATAATTGATGTAGAAAACACAACCACATATGAGTTTAAAAGTAGAAATCATACACACAAACAAAAAATCTAAATTAAAACTAAGTGTAATAACAATGATAAACACTTATCTCAAATCCTCTCCACCAAATTTCTTGAAGTTTCTTTCAATTCTCTTCTTTCACTTACAATACAAACTAACATTCAAATAAAAAGAAAGTGGTCGGCGGCGGCGACGACGATGGGCAGCTGCAGCGGCTACTTGGATGGATGGTGGTTGTAAAATCCGATTGATGGTTAGCCCTTGACGGTTGGCTTTGATGATGCAAGTCTTCTTTAATAAAAACCACAAAAGGTGTCTTAGTGTCCCTGCAAAATGTGTCTTCATTTAATGAATCTTCTAGAAGTTGCCTCCTCAAAAGTCAATTGAATGAATTTTTGTGTCCATGGGATATTTCCCACGATTTTACTAAGGGTTGCTTCAAACACCTCTTCAAAAATTTGTCTAAATTCAATGAATCATCAAATAACTACTTCTGACGCTTACGAGCGGGGTGTTTGGCGCTTAGGCACCTAGTTCATTTTTGCACCTTTCTTCGTTTTTGCTCAAAATTTAACTATTTTTCACTCCTTTTAACATTTTTCATTAATTTAATTGTACTTGAGAGAAAAACACATAAATATTTTTCATTAAAGCACAATATCTCAAAAATAGTTATAAAAATATGTATAAAACACTATTTATTTTAGTTGTATCAGTTACTTAAAAAAAAATTTAAAAGAATAGAATAAGACATTAGTAGGTCGCTTCTGAGGAAATTAATAATCTAATTAAATTAACGCATGAATTTAAAAATCAAGAATTAGGTGATTGAATTTTTATTTATTTGACTGTCATAATGACATAACTGCATTTGCATCCGCTTTGAGTTAGCATGTTAACTGACTAGAAAAATCGAGCCCTTAAATTTAAGATTCGCTCATACTATGATAAATTAATTATAATTACCAAGTTAATTTACCCCCCCCCCCCCC